GGGGGGACGCGCACAGAATTAAAGGGAGGGGGGATGACATGCCTACACCTTCACGAGGCCAACCGCGAGCAGTTGTAATATGGAGGTAGTGATGGGTATAATAGTGTTTCCTTTGAGGGTGTGGGGAGGGAGGGGTAGGGGGAAGAAATAGAACTAAATGAAAGACTTAAATATTTACTTAAAAAATCAGGTATAAATTCGCCATATATCGTAAGGAAACAATCACTGAAAAAAAAAAAGATTTAGCAAATTTTAATTAGCTCTCGTTTTATTTATGACAACTGGCTATGCGTTGCCATCTTTTTGGAGACAAATCATATTTAAATACTAAAAATAAAACGGAAAAAAAAAAGTGTGAATTTCGGCGTTTTAAAAGAAACAACTCCATAAAGGAAACTAACCTTCTGGCTTCTGGCTCACAAAGTTTCTTCAGGAAATACCTGTGGAGAACGACAGTTTAGCAAATACCACACAACACTTAATTGAAACTTGGAGTTGTGCAATGCACTAACGTTGGATCATTAAAATAACTCGATCGCATGTTCGTTTAAAGGTGACTGGTGAGGAGTTTAAACAGAAGCCAAACAATGTAAATATGGTAATTTTGTTGTTGTCTACTTTAAATGTCACGAGCTCTACTTTGTCGCCCAGTCGACATATGCAAAGAACGGAGAGTTGTTTGGAGTTATTTTAAATATCTATAAATATATATATTTCCCTGCAGGAACCAAAGCGTGAAAAAAAATGCAATTTAAAAAAGAAAAGAGAAAAAAAAAAGGAAAATATTTAAAATTCTATATCAGTTTACAAAGGATACGGTGTTCTAATCGTTAAGGAATTTGCTGTTGAGAATATCTGAATGTATATTTCATACAGGAACGGTGTTTTACAAGACTTGTAAATAATAAAAAAAGAACCCATGACCTATTTTGTTTCAAAGCTTTTTTTTTTTTCTCTCCCCTGTTTTTTTGTTCCTTTGGGGCTAAAGGGTGTGGGATTTTTTTACATGTGCAACAAAGTGGTGATAAGAATGTTTGGTGATTAATAAATTTACCAAATGGATGTAAGTTCTTTGACACGGTTCACAAAATGCAATATCTTTATATGACATCACTGTTTTCAATATGTATCATCTATATGTATATACAGTTTTCTTTTAATATGCGAAAGTATTTGGTTGCATGTATACAGTGGAAGAGCGCACAAGGAAAATAAAAAAATGGAAACTTTATATTTTTACTCTGGTGTTACGTTACTGCATGTTCTTTTATCCGAGGTAACTCTGGGACCCGAAATTCCTCATGACCTTGTTCAGTCATTTGGGGCGAATTATTCTTCTTTTGTGAACTTCGCCGTTAAATCTTCTGCTCTGGAGTTAACAAGTGAACCTAAGCTTGTTCAAGCAGCGTTTCAGCGGGTCACAGGAAAAGGAAAATGAAGTATGTTCATAGCTCGCTGCCTGTTAGGCCTTTTCCTTATCCTGCCAACGCCGGCAGGGCAAGGTCTTATGCTCAAGGGTTTGATGTGACATTGCTGTTTGCTCCCCACCATATGTGTCCGGGAGAACCGCTCGGGAAACGTTTGCGGCGTCGGTAGCGTTTGGGGCAGATTTTATAAGCCCGGCACCGAAGGGAAGGTCCAAGCCAGCCGACGGATGTGGCCAGAAGCGTGAGAGCCCTAAGAAAACTGTTATCTTTGGGAAAAAAAAAAATTAGAAAAATCCGCATGGCAGTGTGGTGGAAATGGACTGTTTGAAATTGTCCTTGATCTCCAAGGCAGGGAGAGGGTGGACTGA